GGCATGAACTCTGGTGATAGTCGATTAACCTTGGTAAACTTGACGCTGACAAGACTACGATTCTGCTCTCGATCCTCAACGTCCCCAGATGAAACAATGGACTTGAACTCCGCAGGAGGGTTGTCAACAAAGTCGTCCATGATGACGGAACCAAGCGAGACCTCCGCAGACATGTCATATGGACGTAGATAGAAAAGAAGGTCGAAATTCTCAGCAACAAGCTCGACAAGAAGCTGATCAGGCTTCTTCCTGTCAGGATCGCTCCGATAGAGGGATCCCTTGAGGGTGTCGACCTTGAACTTGAGCTCGAAAGAACGCTGTTGGAGCTTGAGCTGTTCCTTGTTGCTCCTACCACCATCGTCGGCGTCCTCAAACTCGTCCTGATCGTCGTCATCTTCGTCAATCACGATGGCAGTTTGTTGCTGCATGAAAGGGAATTGAGAAGACTTCCGGCGGCTATTGGTGTCCTTGCGAGAACGCGATCGGTTAGAGGCGGTACTCAGGCCACGTGGGCGAGTTGTCACTGCTTGGTCCTGGGAGTCCTTGATTTGCGCCTGTTGCAGCTCTTGGTTGCCAAACTTGGGGATGGCGACATCGATGATTCGCATCAAATTCTTGTACTTGGAATCTGATATGGTTGCATGGAGCATGGGAAGGTGGCCAGAGACCTTCAGTTTGGTCAGATTTGGCGCCTTGGGCAGAATCGAAGTCTCAACCACAAAGTCGACGTTGATCTCTTCCACCACGTGCAAGTGCTGTGTGTCGTCCTTGTTCGATATTTGAGCCTTTGTCGCCTCGATCGAGGGACCGATCAGCACCTGGGTGGAGGAGAGCTTGACCAAGAATTTGTCGTACATGACAGACTCTAAGCGCTTGAAGTCTTCGTCAGTGTACGATTGGCGTTGTTTCGACTGAATCTGTTTCATAGTGTCCTGGTCCACCAGCTCGCTGTTAACGCTGATATGACCGGCATCCAGAATTAGACAAGTAGATTCTTTGACGTTGATGCTGACCGGTACAATAATAAGCGGGGCCTGTAGGTCAAGCTGGGCATTGATGGTCTTGTGCTCCTCGAGAGCGAATTCCAGACCAGCCCGCGTCTGTTCTCGGAAGGTCTCTACGGTGGCGCCGGCGGTTTCCATCAGCGCTGTGATGGACTCCATGTGTCGTTCTGGTGGTCTAAAGAAGTCGGCCACGCCTACGACGAAGTTTGGATTCCAGACAATCTCGAGTGGCTTGAGGGATCCGCTGAGAGCAATGTCGCCTTCGCGGTCGATGGGGTTTTGTTCGACCTCAAAGCGAAAGAAGGGTTCGTCGTCGTTATCTTCGAGCTCTTCGATGGTTAGGCGTTTTTGGTCGTGGATCTCGGGGGCGTCCTTGACTCTGACAATCTCGGGAAACAGTGAGTCTGGCGTGGTGCCATCGTTGACACGAAGTCCACCCAGACTGAGATCAGCCAGAAAGGAATCAGGACGCTGCAGCACCTTGGCTTTGAAAACATCAAAGTGCAGGCTCAGAAGATCACTCCGCTTGCCATTATGGCTCTTCTTCAGCGTGAAGCTTCCGGTGCTCAGCCATGCCTCAACTTGCATCTTGACAGAGTCCCGAGGAACATCAACTGACTCTGCCAAGGCAGTCTTCTCGTCAAACTCGATGGCGTCGTAGAGCTCTTTGCGCTGCTCCTCGGTGATTTGTGTGTTCTCATCATCTTCAGCATGGTGTTCCTGCTGCTTCTGGCCACTACCCCAGGCCCACGCCAGCCAGCCCTGTTGCTCCTGTTTAGGGGGCTGGTTCTTTAGGGCAGCGGCATTCTCCTTCTTAAGCTGGTTCCGTGCCAGAGATCGCCAGAATCGGAGATCCTCGTAATCGAGCTTGATCTCGAGTTTGTTGATGTCTTCGTTCTCTTGGGAGCTGAGTTGTTGCTGTTGCTTGCGCTTCTTGAAGAGTTCAATGTAGCGTTGGCGGTCATCACGTCGTTCTTTGAAGTATTCCCATGACCATCTACGGTTCTTCTCGTGGATCTTGCTGAGGACGGAGTCACCAGCAAACTTGAGCCAGGCCCTGGGGTCTTCCTTGGGTGTGACTCCTTTGGGCTGGAATTTTTTGTACTCTTGGTGGCGGATGAAGTAGTGGAAAAGGTCAACCATCATCAAGCCATCACGGTACTGGTCGTCATCGATTACGAGACCAATCTCCTCAAACAGTAGACTGGCCTTGGCCTTGGGAGCATGGACATCCCCCGTCTTGTCGAGGACAATCTTTGCCTTTCCGTTGACGGGTCGAAGGATGAATTGGTGGTTGAGGCCTGTGTCCTCGGTCGACCCTATCAGGCTCTTGAACTTGTCAACCATCTCATCATGCGGCATCGGTGGTTTGTCGCCAGTATCGACCTCTCGGCCCGGGCCCAGCAGCTCTGTATCTGTGTTCCAGTAGACGGCGAGGGCGCCGAGGGTTGCAAGCTTGTGGGTGCTCTTGGTCGAGTCCTGGACAAAGGTGGGCTTCCACTGGCCGTCGGTGCTGACAGCACTGAACTCCTCGAGAGTCACACCAAGTGCAAAGGGGTGTCCGGGAGCGGAAATGGAATCTTCGTATCGGATATGGATGTTCTTGACTGTGACTTGCAGGTTGTCGACAATCTTGGTGACCAGGCTCTGGGTAAACGTCTGGCTCTTTTTCTGCTCCTCCTGGCTGAGGCCCTCTTGAGACCTCTCCTTGAGAAGCTCTGCAGAATCGAGTTTCTCCATCTTGATTCTCTGCTTCCTACGCTCTTCCTCTTGCTCGTCATACGCAGCCTCTTCCCGGGGGGAGGCCAGCAGAAAGACATCCTCGATGAAGACCTTGACGGGCGCGCCACGCAAGTTGGACCATGGGATTATGAGTGTGAGCTCGCCGAGATGGCCTTCCATGACGTTGATGGGAAGCTTCAGCTGGTCGAGAGCTTCCCTCCGAAGCTCGAGGTTGCGTAGCTTGACATCGCCAGACCAGATTCCAACCTTGAGCTGTGCTGGATCGAAATTCTTGACGTACATGCCCAGGAACCTATTGAGCAGGCCGGCAACGAGTCCCTCCAACATCTTGTCTGTATGTGGCGCCTTAACCCTGGCGAGGGAGGGTCAGGTTGGTGTTCTATCGTGTATCGGTAATGGGAAGCATAGGAAGGGAGAGACTCGGAAAGTCGGAAAGCTCGATGACGACGGGCAGGGCGCAGGTCAGATCAGTAGCCGCCGGAAAGGCTCTGCCGTCATCAAAGTGACGCGCGCTGTAGGATGGTATCGTGTACGGGGTCTTGGTGGGTTGCTCGGTTTTTGGGCGTCGTTACTTTTCGACGTAGGTGTAATATCAAGCGTACTATCAACGGTGGGTGATGTGGAATTTTTGGGTATCGAGGGGTGGATGTCGTGTTCTCGGATGGCGTGCCGTCGGCCGTGACTCCGGGTCTGAGGTGTACTGGCGGCGAAGTAGGGCAAGGTAGGTAGGCAGGTATGGGAAAGAGAATGCCGCGTCGCAGATTTGCCCAAAAGTGAATGTTTGCCAGCTCAAGTTTGACAGATTGCAGGCTGGTCTGCGTTGTCGATATTGAGCTGGTGCTTGTGCTTGTGCTTGTGCTGGTACTGGGGGGTGGGCGTTGGCAGGGTTGGTTTGGTCACAGTGTCGGGGCAGGTTGGGGTCTGGACTGAGGGAGCGGCGGATTTGTGCATGATGACGCTGCCTGATTGTTGAAGTGGGTGAGCGCCAGCCAGCTGCCAAAGTGCCTTCCCCCGCACCAGAGCCAGAAACAGGCCAGGGCAACAGCTCGGCCCAGGGCAGACTGTGTGGCTGCCCGCTGCCTCTTGCCAGAACTTCAACTGCTCCTGCTCCGAATGGACCGTCACAGACGTCTACAAGTGGATTCTAGTGGACCCGTTGAGCCACGGCAGGGTGGGTCTACCGACTACACAGTACTCCGGACCTCAGTCGAGGGGGGTAGCTACATACCTGCATCATAGCCCAATTCGGTAAGGCCTTCACTCAAGTTTGTACGTATCTGTATCAATGCTTTAAGCGGAACTCGACTCCCATCATCAAAGAGGAATAGAGGTTACGAATCTTGGCTACGGTAGGCAAGTGTCAAGTGCTCTCTCTTTTCGGTTTTGGAAATTCAATCATGATCTGGTGCGTTAGGACGAACTACAACATTGGAATGTCTGTGTTAATTGCTACATATGCGCTTGCGATGGTAAATACCTACGACTGAGGAAATGCACTCACCTGCCTTTCGTGCTCCCTTAATTCAGTACCTACCTACCTAAGGTACGGAGCGGAGTACGGCCTGCGTAAGTAAGGTGAGGGGTGAGACAGGTACCTAAGGTAGTTACCCAAGGCGTGGTATCGCATCGGTACAGACGGCGGGGGATAGAAGAGGAGGAGCTTGGGCCACTAAGCAGTAGCGGTACTCCACCCCACTCAGCTGCTAGTTCGTCCAATGCGGAGCCTCTGGCCCGGACGTCACTGGGTGCCTACCACCTTGGGCATGGGACAGGTCTCCACATTACGTCACCATCCGGCAGCTGGAGCTCTGGCAACCTCGATGGCCTGGGCTGCGTGCGATCTGATGGCCATGCAAACGCGAGCAATGAGGACCTTACCGTGGACCAGCTGTGTGCCTTGGTTTTCCACGTCCAGTTCCAGTTCTGGACCCGAGCCTTACATCAACTTGAGGCAATCGGATAAGGTAGGCACTTTGCGAATTTAATTGGTCCTCTTGGGCGACACCAAAAGAGGCCTTCAAGACACTCGGCCGGACTCTTGTTTTGCTTCAACAATCATCAACAACAACTTCCCACAGGCATTGATACCACCAATTCCCAGAGAGGATACAACTGTTTGCTGGCTTCATTCCGACCTTGATTCCTTCCGTTCATACATTTAGACTACAACTTGAAACTGCCCAAAACCATATCAACCTCGCCATCCTCGCACACAAGGTAGCTCCTGAAAACATACGCCAAAGCTCCCTCACGATGCTTCGCTCTTCGCGTCAACTCGCGCGGATTTCTCCACGCAAAGTTGCAGCTCCCTCAGCAATCCCGTCAACACCCTTTTCGACGAGGTCTCCGTCGAGTGCTCTTCACACCCCCAGGCGACCTGCTTCGGCCCTCCAAGCTCGTTTGATTCCCTTGTCCCTCCAAGCGCGATACACCAATTCGCCCTACGACAAGATCGATAAGAAGGCCGAGGCCGAGATTGCAAAGAAGAAGCTCGAGTCTAATCCCGAGGCGGTTTCGACCGAGTCGTCTAGGATTCACCTCTTTGAGCCGGAGCCCGCGAAAACACAAAAGGAAGAGGATCTCACGGGAGGACTCAAGAAGGAGTTGGTAAGTCTGCACCAGCCTGCTCCGCCCCAGATATCATGCGGTACACACCAATTGACACATTACCGATAGAACATTGTCAAGGATACCTTCAATCTTAGCGAAGTGCCAAGGGAGCCCTACTTGCTCGGTCTTGCAGGCACTCTGCCCTACCTTGCTACATCCCTGAGCACAGTCTACCTGAGCTGGGACCTGAACCTCGAATGGCCCTCTACATCGACATTTGCAAACCATATTTACATGAATCATGATTCAGCGCAATACTGGCTGAGCCTCCTCGAGCCCATTCAGCTCGGATACGGCGCCATCATCATCTCCTTCCTTGGAGCAGTCCATTGGGTGAGCAGCATCCGCGCGTCAACTGTGACGGAATGACTGGGCTAACGCGACTGCAGGGCATGGAATATGCCGAAAAGACGCCTCATCCCACCCGAACAAAGTTCCGCTACGGCATGGGTGTCGTCGCGCCTATGATTGCCTGGCCGTCCCTCCTCATGCCCGTCGAATATGCCCTCACCTCGCAATTCGCCGCCTTCACCTTCCTCTACCTTGCCGACACCCGAGCTAAGAACAAGGGCTGGACCCCGCAATGGTACGGAATCTACCGCTTCGTCCTGACTGCCATTGTTGGAGTCTCCATCTTTGTCAGCTTGGTTGGTCGCACCAAGATTGGCAACGCACAACCCCATATTGGCGAAGGCCTAGCTGAGAGCATGCACCTGGGCAAGACCGACACCACCAAGGACTGGGCTAAGCTCGAGGAGGAGGAGAGAAAGAAGCAGAAAAAGGAGAAGGAAGAGGCTGAGAAGAAGAAGAAGGAAGAAGAGAAGAAGCAAAAGGAGGAGGAGAAGAAGAATGCCAAGAAGGGCGACTCCAAGAGCAAGAGCAAGAAGGATGACAAGAAGGACACAGGTGCCAACAAGAAGGACGACTCCGAGGAGGAGGAAAATGAGAAGGTGGAGGAGAAGGAGGAGGATAAGCAAGATGAGGACGACAAGCAGGATGAGGACAACAAGCAGGATGACGAGAAGGAAGAAAAGTCTGAGGACAAGGACGGGTCTGAGGATGACTCCAAGGATGGGGATAAGGACGATTCCAAGGATGAGGGCAAGTCCAAGTCCAAGTCCAAGGATGAGGGCAAGAAGAAGGAGAAGAAGGAGTAAAGGCGTTGTCGGATTGATTCCCACAGCAGTCTGGAGTTCTCCCGATTACTTTTTCCTTATCTGTACTGTAGTTGTATTTGCGCGGCGGAAGAACATTGCGAGCCAGGTTAAATGGGCAAGGCGTTTGGGGCATTTCATGTACACCGTTGAAGCGAGCACTATATTCAAGCAAGCTATCGATTACCAAAGGGATGGACTATCTACATTAGTCATTGCTACTTTATTATGATGTGAGGTGTATCATAGCCCCAACGTCCTCTCGCGGTTGTGATGCTATAAAATCCCGTATAACTTCATCACGCACCGACTTCAATTCACATTGCCAACCGCTGTGACAACTCTGGTTCTCGTCCCCCACGAAGGAAACTCATCTGTGCTAGACCCCTTCAAGGCCGAAATTACCCATCGTCTAGTATCCCAAAGGCTACATAAACCTGAGCGGGTTTCGAGCCCTAACATCGCAGGCTGTCGGCCTCCCCAAGCAGAACTAGAAGCTGTAGGCGAGGCCGAGCGAGCTGCACACACGTACTCACGCATGCCCAAGCCTCGCAAGCTTCCATCCGTCTTTTCGTTTTTCTTTTTTTTTTAGCTTATGTTCTGTCATCATGGGAAATTTGACGCGCGGCTGAATACTCCCCCTTCGGATCCGAAACGCCGACAAGACCTCCTGGTGGCAGAAGCGTGTCTGAGCACACTGCCGGATATCCCCTCTTCTAAAATATTCAGATCCGTGATGAGAAGGATATGTCTAGGGAGGTAGATAGCCAGTATGTCTGAAGAATACGAATATACCCACTCACAAGTCCGACGAGGATTGCCAGGAGATCGCCGCAAGCGAAAAAAGACAAAAGCCCGAAGCAAATTCAGGAAACCACTCCGCCCATCCCGGACGGCACCGACAGTCCCGTAAGCCCCATTTATTCTTCCGACTGGCCCCTCCCAAGTCCGTCCACGATCCCGTCCGATCCGCCCGATCGATGGTCGAGAGGCCTTCTAATCGTTGACGTTTTCTCAGAAGTTACATGAATTCTCCCGGCCGAACTACCCGAATCATCCTGTAGAAACCAGATTGAAGAAAAAAAGACCGCGGCCTTCTTGTTTCCCCCCTCCCCCTGGGTACCACCTGCCGTCTTGTCATTTGCATCCTACATCCCGCAATGACCTCACTGCTTTTACGGGCCTCGACCCCGCCAGACCGTTTTGCGGCGCACCGCGGTCCGTATTCCAATATGCGCGAGCCGTGTCGCAAGTATGTCCAGGTACACGATTTTTGTCCCCACGGAAGAGTTTCTGGCGTTTCAATCATATTCAGGGCAGGCGGCAGACGGCCTCGGCATCGACAGCAGGACAATACAGCATAGCACGGTTCACCCATTTCCCCTGTCGCGAGTTAAGGCGAGCCAAAAAAGCCCGGCAAGAACGCATAATCCAAGGCGGAGGGGGTCCGAGGGGGGATAACAGCATTACCCGGTGTCCTTCGGCCATCCGTTTTCGCAGCCATTGATTCTTTTGCTTTGATACCGTTTACGATCCCTCGGGTAATCCCAAGATCTGCAGGGTGTGACTTGAAATCCGAGAATTCCTACACGGTAGAATAAGGTATGAGAAAAGCGCCAACCAACACGAGACTGATTGGTTTTACGACGGACTCTTCCTTGATCAGCATCCGCATCAGCACCAAGCAGCACCGCCTCACCATCACGAGACGCAGCTTAGAAGGACTCTCTGACTGTGATACACCGCCCCGGGCTTACCATACTATCCAATCCCAAATAGACAGGCATGGCAAATATCTACATACTCCCGCGGAAAGCGTAGTCACCTCGCTGCACGATACGATTCAGCAACCCTTGAAGATCATCGCCAGTGACGTGGTGGGGGTTGGCTACCTTAGCAAAGGTGAACGTCACCCACGTCAGGGTCAGTCAGGCACGGAAGTCTTCTGCAAGCAGTTTGAGTCCAGCGGCCAGGCGACCAGCCACATGGCAAACTCCCAGAAAGAGCCTTTTCCCTCCCCCTCTAAACGAGGTGCCTTGATTTTAAAGTGATTTGCGTTAGGGTGGGGGGGGGGGGGGCAACCCGGGGCGACGTAACTTCGTCGTAGGGCTCATTCTAGCTTTTTACCTTTTGTCTTTTTTATCCTTTCTCTGTATGTGTGTAATCACCAACAACCCACGGCCCAATGGCCCCCTTGACTCCTGAGAAACCGTTTAAACTCTCCCAGGATTCCGGGTTCTTTGCATCCCGCTGCATTCGACTGACACGGCTCCAGTGCTCTGTCACCGTCACTGGGCCGGGCAAGGCAAGGCAACTTGCAAGGTAAGGATTCTCGCAGGCATCTAAGTCCCTCCGCCACGAATCAGTTTGGTGTTGAAATCCTTTTCCTCGCTGATGTCATCGCCCGCCACGCCACGCCACGCCACGCCGCGAAGCCTTTTTTTTCCTTTCCCAGGGTTCCCGCGCGGATGGAGCTGCCAAAGAGCTTAAACCCCCTGGAAACGTCGCTTCCGAAGCGGACACGATGTTGTCACTGGCTCCTGTTGCCCCTCTCGCCGCCGCTCCAGGCAAGACAGAACTACTTTACGGAGTACCCTTTTGCTAGTCAATGGGCACAGCATTTGTGCGTACAAGAGTGAGTAAAGTAGTGCATCCGTGGTGTAATAGTGACAGTATGCACGGGGTTGGTCCCTCCCGAGCAGGAAACCCAAACAGCCGGCAAGGATAACTCGAAGAAGACGAAGACGAAGAAGACGAAGAAGAAGAAGAGGATGAACCCCGCCCCCCCCCCCTTCTGCCCCTCCATCGAACCTTGACGTCATCGCCACGACGCCGGACCACGCGCCGCGTCTCAGTTGATGAACGACATGGAAAACCTCTTGTCACGATTTCCACGATACCATGACTCCATCCCGTGGCGAAACCTGTCTGTTATGCTCACCGTCTTTGTGCCTTGTGGAACAACCACCCCATGAATCTAACTCTCACTCTCCGTCGGTTTGGCTGATCTGATGATTCCGTTTTCCCACAGTTCGGCCTGCTTGACATCCACACAACCATCAAGTTCGACGGTCTGGTGCGGTGTGCGTGCGGTATCGGAACCTTTATGGGGGGTGAGTGTGTTCTGTCACCATGTGGTTCAACCGTATTGCATTTGACCCCAAAAGACGAGGGGCATGAACACCATCCACACCTCCATACGCAGTAACTAAAACGTTGATTGACTCCATCACCAAAACTTGCGACGACTCGCGCATTTCAACTCGTCGCAACCTCATTCGCCCCCCAACCCGGAGCTTCTCCGCCGATGCAAGATAACACTGTCATGACGGAAGGCAAAATTTTGCCATTTTTGTCAAAAGAATGCCTTTTTTTTTTCTTCTTTTGCACATGTTTCGCCGTCGCGACCCGGTCCTCTGTACCTTTAAGCCTTTTTGGTCAATGATGTGCGCTACAAGCCTGCAACTTGCAACAGATGGACCCGTGAGCGGAGCCGCCCACGCTTCTTCTTTCGTGTTTCCTCGGCCGTATGTAGATCTCTTGGTGAGAAAGCTGCGGAGACATTTCCCCCGAAGCAATGTACGATCGCCGTTCGCCGCAGCCAACACACGCGAAAAATACCCCGAGGGCGATACCTATCCTCACACCTCACCAAGTACCGCAAAATCCCTTTGTATACTACATCCCGCCGTTTGAAAACGTGTACGGTAGAATCGACTGTAGTGTGTCGCCGCCGCGCCGTCGGCGGGTATCGTGCATAAAACATAACATCACCAATGATGTTTCTGTTTGTCTGGGTGAAGTGTGCATCAAACATCCAAACCTTCAGGAATACCCATATTGGTCCGGCGCCGATACCTACCAGAGAGCGAACCGGTCACATGGCCTTTGCCGGCCGGCAAGGTGCCCGTCATGCGGCATGCCACAACTGGACAAAGGATGCCCGCCGTTGGCCGGCACTCGAACCCAATCACTCACTCTTCACGGCAATCATCGATAGAGTACTGAATAGATATATGCGTTGCAACTTGCCGCAAGGCTCTGTGTCCTCGTGACTGCTGCCTCATGGCTCTGGAAACCAACCCTGATCCCCGCCTCTTCACCGAGGATTGGTTGAACGAGATCGCAGCTGGTGACTTAACCCCCATCCCCGCGATAAGCCGCAATCGAGATCTTCCATCTCTTGACACTTTTTTTGACATGTGGCCCTCTGCCCGGCGGCCATCTCCTTGTGGCGGGCCTCACCGACCGTTTTCCGTGCGTCTGGCGCGGCCCGTAACTTCAAAAGAAAGGAGCCGACACTTTTGCCGGTATACCTACTTGAAGCGGCCGGTTTACGGAAGTGTGGATGCGTGTGTCTATACGGCATGCGCGACGATCAGAGTTCTTCTGTGAGAGATTCTAAATTTTCTGCAGCGTGCCAAGCGATACACCAGGTACAAGACGAGATACAGTTGCAGTTGGTCAATCAAGTCCTTCCTCGAAACGCCGTGCCTTGCTCCGGTGAGCCGGTCCCAAGAAACGCCAACGTATTGCCGTTGCCGGACTTGGTCCGAGGATGAGGATGTGCATTGAGTGTGGGAAAACATTCTTCTTCTTCTTCTTCTTCGACTCTTGGTGCAAAATGTGGCCTCAATAAGCTTTCCCCATGCGGTTGGATGGCATGCGCGACGCTGCCGTGACCGCTACGAGGACTCGAGCTGAGTTGAAGAAGGCCAGTAGATCCCGCGAGAACTGATTCAGGCCGTTTCATACGGGATGGTCGCAATGTGCGTGAATGAGTCGGTGCTCTTTCGGCTATGCCCGAGTCGGTCGGTGTACGTATCCCCTTTGTCGCGTGGAATTCGGTGACTTGAGACGACATGCTGTACACTACGGATACGGTGTGTGCGTGTTTGAACCGTAAAGATTCATGTTGGGACTAATCCTGCACACTTGGGCTTAGGCATCTAGGTAGTCCTTTCTTTGGATACGGTACCTAGAACTCTGAGAAGGCCAACGGAAAACTGTAACGGAGGGTGTGTGGATGGCCGGCCGGACGGGTCAGCGGTCTGGAGTCCTCAGTCCTGTCGTACGTAGTCTTCCGTGCCATCTTCTGTAGCATCTACCCTAAGGAATGTTTATTCGGGCAGACGCGGAGCAGGCGGTGAAAAGGCGCCGAAGCACACCGAAGCACACACACACCCTCCACCACGGCCCTGGCGGATTATCCTTCTCCAGGTTCGCTGCGCGCTTCCATCCTCCCGTGGCCTCGGCGCCCCCTCTCTGTCGACGCGGGGTACCCAGCGATCGCCCGGCCGCAAAGGACCCTGATGCACCGAATCCGCTGTAACCCGACTTACTCACGTTCCGTGGGTAGCTTTGGGACGCACAATGTGCCTCTGGGGATCGCATCTGGTAAGCACCAGCCACAGACGAGGTTCCATACATGACATGACGGGACTGATGCCTGTGCCGCCATTTGGAGCTGATACAAGAGGGAAAACTTACGTCTTTGCTGGTGGAAAAGTCGGGGTGTTGCTGACGGAAGCAATCGTGGCACAGCTCGAGCATCAGGAACCACCCTTGGTGAGCAGCCCAACCAACAACCCAAGAGAAGGGGCCATGTCGTGCGTCTTTGGTCCCTCCATCTGGGCTCCGCACTGGCGGGAGATGCGGCTACGGGATGGGTGGGTGGGAAGCGGGTGACTGGCCGGAAAGTCACGAGGCTCTGGTTCGCCGGACCGTTGACGAGTCCAGGTGAGCACGCCGTGATATTCTCGCCATGTCCGCCGCCCGTGACCGGTTTGGGCAGGAGGACACTGCGAAGTCGTAGTGGGATGCCATGCCAAACGGTCCAGCGGCTACACATACTCTTGTCCTTAAGAGTGTGAGGGGGGAGGAGGGGTTGATGGTCTTGCTCAAAGGTTACATCCCCGACATCTGGCATCTGACAGACCACCCACTTGAGCTTGATGCCTAGTATTTCGGTGATGAGTCGTAAGATGGGGCTTCATGGCACTTTTGGGATCCAGAGAGACCAAAGGAGGTCACCGAGGCCAGCGCGGGAAACGCGTGGATGAAAGGCCAGAACGGCAAGGATGACTGCAATGCCACTACCCAGTTGCGTGCTCTTGTATTCTTGTTGTACCACATTCCGCGCCCAACGCGAAGACGAGATGCTAAAGTTTAAATCGTCTCCTCAACGCAGCCCATTTGTTGGGCCTGCGATGTGGTTACACGCGAGTGACAGGTACGAGATGCAGCATGCGTGTGTCTTCTACAGAAACAAAAGCAAGCCCGACTTATCCATCCTCGTTGGGGGCCTAGTAGCCAGGCAGACGATCCAATGGAGGGGCTCCGAATGCAAACCTAGACACCTGGGATGGACTTTGGGCCATATTCCATGACCAAAGCATGGCGATTGGGTGCGTTTTCGCGAATTGGCTAGCAGCGCGGGATACTTCGCACCATGGACATTTAGTGTTGGGCACGAAACTAGAACAATGAACATTAGGGTACGGAACAACGGGGTCGAGAGCGTCATCCGTCTCGGGTTCCAAGTACCGCAACATGACATGGTCTGGCTTCCTTTATTTGAAATGCACTCTAGACTCAGGAGACCTTCGTGCGACTGGTGGATATTGCAAGTGTTGGCTGACTGCCCGAATAGGCATCCCATGTTTTTTTTCCCCCTCCTTCTAATTTGTTATCGCGCCTCTTCCCGCTGGCGTGGTCAACGGCGGGCACATGAGACGAGATTGTGCTTTGATACCTAGGCGGTCCATCCATACTGCGGCAGCTATTTTGATAATGGCTGTTTTGATGAAATGAGGGGACGTCTGGGGTTGAAAGAGGGGAGTGTTGGCGCGACAAGCAGCTAAAAACGGCTCAAGAAGAGCACGGATGGTGGCTTCACAGACGGATTCCGCTGTCAGGTCCTTCAGTTTCGAGCAAGTCTGTCCAGAAGCAGATTTTGGGTACGGGGCATGGGGCGATGCATCAGTCTGGCGTGATGATATTCTGGGGGCTAAATGAGTTGATCGCTGGCGATGAACCGATAAAATTGCACGTCGCATACCGATGCGCGTATGCCCCCAGATGCCCCCAGATGCCCCAGATGGCGAGATGACAATCGGCAGCTCGTTCTTTTTTTGATATCCAGATTCAAGGATGACACTGACGGGTGCCCAGTTAAAAAGGCTGTGGACTGTGTAACCGTGGTTCAGCATCCGAGGTCCCCATTGTATTCAGCAATATCCGGACGGGCCTTCAGGGCAGAACGGGTAGCGTCCGTATTTGATTTGCAGGGTTGGTCCTTTGGCACAGCCTGCCAAGATCCAGGAGGAGGAAACGATAGAGGCCACAGACCAAGGGGCAGAGGGGCCAAGCCAAGAGAAGGATGTGCCGTCCATCCATCACCGTATCAGTCCCTTTGACGGAGCCTTGTCACCGTCGTCGACGTTGCCCTGTCTCGAGATTCGGACCCTTTTATCAAGGTTGTCGGTCTAACGCTTCAGAGTGCGAGATGGACACGCAAGCAGGACGAGCAAAGGAGCCCCAGCGTGTTTGTACAATGTCTGGCTATACCAGTACTTCGTGAGGTTCTCTAGCGGACGAGCTGATGGCGATGTCGTATCGAGTGTTTCTTCGTGTCAGTCTCGCGCGTCTCTTTCATCTTTGATATGACGTGTTTGTCGGCCAGGTTCCGCCATAGGATCCAAGAGGCGATACACATGCTTGGCTGGCGCACATCATTTTCCGAGTCAGGTATTCGAGGCTCAACAACGCTGCGGGTGTGGTACCGATGTACTCTGGCACTTTTAGGTATCTGCAAAGGGATAAGAGCCAAGATCTGAAGCTTGACATGATCTGCAGCGGCCCTTTGGTATCTTGACTCTTGACACACCAGGGGCCACGGGAATACTTACGAGGCAGACGATCAACAAAGGCGACGACGGGCGGGAATACTCTTTACGGGTAGAGGCGTCGATTAGCCAAATATAAAAACAATAACCTGCGAGGTTCGAGCGTGCGTTTGGTTGAAAAGTAAAGACCTTATTCTCGACGAAACACACAGCGGGAGCCAGTGAATGGAGAAATGCAGCAGGTTGGCGTGTCATTGGCGGGCTGAAGACGGAGATAATCTGGCAGGCAAGACAAATGCACAAAGTTGGAGCCTTTGGACGAGAAACTTGAAGGAGAGACGCTCACCTCACTCGGTGAGATGAAAGACGGTGTAGATGGCGTAGACGGTAGATTGGGACGGTGGGTGACAGACTGACGGTCGATGTGTCAGTGTCAAAAGTGGAAAGAACCCCCCATCTTTTGGATGGAGACATTGGTGGAACCGAGGTGCCTTGGTGGTGCAGCCTTGCAAATTAGGGGACCGCAAGTGCAAAACAAGAAGAAGGTAAGTGCAGGTACGTCGAGTACGTATCCGTCGCTCCATGCCTTGTAGAGTAAGGTAAGTATCGAACCCCCCGCTGCCTTACATCCTCAGCGAGTTCTCACTCCTCGCGGCAGGTCACCTTCCATTCGCCGTCAGCCGGTCTCGTAAAGCAAAGTACCTGCGTACTCCGTACCTATCATCCGTATCTCGTCCAGTCCTGAACGCCGTATCCGAATTTAGGTAGTTACGAACTGTCTTGCCTCGGTCATGGTCACCCGTGCCTGGCCTCAAAGTCCGTTTCGCTTCGTTATCTCGACGGAAGACGGCCGACCCGAGGAATCCACGCCTGGTCCGCCCGAGGCGCCGTGTCTTCCTTTTCCCCATCTTGTTTCTCAAAAATCCCCTCAGCAGAAAAGACAAGAAGATGGGATCATGTTGAAGGGCCTGGTTAGTCTTCTGCCTTTTCTGCCTGCCATGGCCGAAGCGACGCCGCGACCTGCCTTCTAGGGTGCCTGACTCCCGCCTGAGGAGGTAACCTGCAGCCCGCAATGTGCCAGTGCCCTCCCCCAGAGCCCTGTCTTCTTGCCTGGTGGCCATGCACCCCAAGGTTTCCCCTCCGTGTAAGAGGTGAGAGGGTCGACATGTACATCTGCAGATCATGGCAGTGTAAAGGTACTTTGGCCTTCAGCCACGGACGGCCGCCCTGGTGCTGACAGGAACGGACGTATTCCGTTCTCGGCGTGTACGGATACTTGCCCAGGGCTTACAGTGAACTGTTATCCGCGTCATTACTCGCCGCCGGTCCCAGGTTTTGAGTGCTGTATCATCGCTGCAATCCTCGGCCGTGTCATGGACTCATTCATGGCTCAATGGTTGAATACCAAGTACGTAGTCCGGCAATCGACTCCCATCAGGATGTGCTTGTCGCTGTTATTCTGTCATTTTATCTTCGCCTCTCGTCAGCTCGATCTAATACCGCCCGGTCGTGCTGCGGTCCTATTTTATGATAGCCGCCAGATAAGGCACGGATAAGAAGGCCGGGAATGACACAAGATTACAGATAATCTTGAATTCGCAAAGGTCAGCTCCTGTAGGTACCTAGCTACTCCGCCTTTTCGCCATCATCATCCATGATACTACTACCTTACGCAGTACCTTGGTATATCTTGCTCTACGGATACCCGCCCTTTGCCTTGTCCTTTATTCTTCCGTTTCAAACGGATCCCCGGGGCCCTCGGCAGAAAGAAGAAACACCAAAGTGCAGGAAGTGATGGGATTAGCCAGACATTCGATCGATACCAATCTCAGATCTATAGGTAAAATCACGACCTGCACCGACTTAGCGCTGTCTTTCGTGTATTCTCTCGGCAATATGCCTCAGCTGCCCAATGTCTCCAGATGTATCTGTATCTCACGCACGGCCAACGCCATTCACGGATATTCCAAAGTGTTCAGCTGCCGGGCAAATAAACACCGTAGTACCTACGGACAGTGTAGACTTTCAAACCCTCTCCCCCAATCGCATCGTCGTGGTCCACGATCCAGGCCATCTAGGCCGCGCAGGCCATCCAGAAGCAGGCTACACATTTTGAGGTTGCAAATACCCCAAGAGTCCAGACCTCTCCGATGGTCCATCTAAGCTCCTATGGTAGCCTTCATTCCGGACACCGACACGTCGGCAGTCCAGATTACCCCAAGCCATCTCACGGAGCAAAGCTTGCAACGGGCTAGAGTTACAGCCACGTCGCCGACTTGGACGGAGCGAAGGAGTCCAGCAATAAGGTAGTTGAATCATCACGACCGAAGCCGGTGGTATCATGAAAGTACCTACGCTTCCACTTCCGGAACCCCCCGCACCAACACCATCAACATAGGGCACCACCAGTCTGATTCCTCCGACTCTGACTCTTTTCTTCTGACGGGAATCTTCAAGTCCAACAAGTCCTTCACCCACAAAACTCAGACCCGACACTTCGCGGCCTGCTGAGCCGAAACAAGGCCGCATCAGCAGTCTCAATACTCGGTATCGGCCTCGCCATCAGCACCAATGCCATCGTCTCGGCATCAGCAAACCACCGCAGTGTGGCACTCGTGCATCAAGTGGACCAATACTCTGTAAGGTCTAGGTAGTCTGCACTCCGTACACCGTACCCAATCCAATATCAGGCTCACGCACCTCACCTCACCTCAGACTCTCTCAGTCAGCCTGCCCTCCCACTATTGACTATTGAATGCGACCCCCCTGCCTCCGCCATTCCGACTTGCTGGGCAGAAGGAACAAGATTTGAGACAAGAGTCACCGAGAAGACGCGTCTTCAGCTGAGAGGTGAAGCCAGCCGACCACGTAGGACCTACCTACCAGTGCCAACACACAGCAGCTGGCACTGAAGCTGCACAGTCCCTTTGGTCCTGACCTGGGCAGCTGGGCTGAACTCGACCCGATGTGTGTCCAGCTCCCCCGGACTTTCGCGTTAGGCTCTCTCTGGCCTCTACCTTGCTTCCATTTCGGTGAGGTGTGGGTGAGTTACTTACTTCCATTTGTTAGGTGCGTGTACCCATTAAAACGGACTTGGAAGTCATCAACGAAAGGCCGTCGCACCGTTTCGCTCTCCGTTTTCCGTCCCCCCCCCCTTGCGCCCTCGCCTGTTCTCTCCACCCCTGCCCGCGGTTGCCCTACCTTACCTTACTCGGTCTCCACTGGGAAGGGGGTCGCCCACTTCCTTCCCACTCTGCACAGACCGGGAAGTCCACCCCTGCCCCCTCCTTCCCTCCTTCTCACAAGTTCACACATGTCACTCCGTCTCCTTCCCCCTTCCTTCCCACACCCACACACAGCGGGTTCGGTACCTACGGTGCTCCTTCCCGCCACGCGAGGCCAACCTGAAAATAATACGGGGAAAGGACCGCACCCTCGCACTTGCTGCCTTGCAGCCCACAATCCCATAATCCATAATAACCCAGCCTTCACCCGCATCCATCCATCGTGAGGGCCTCTTCCCGATTCTCTTTCTATTCTATTCCGCGACTCTGACATCCCGCCATACCGCAGTGACCGAACTTTCAAAGCGCCTCAACGATCTCACAATAGGCCTCCTCCGCCGCCGCCTCATACAAGTCTACACACATACGCCTCTACTCACTACCGCTCCTCCGATCCGCCCTCTACTCGATCCAGCCCACACCGTCTAGTGCTGTCTCGCCCTGCCTCATTCTCATCGGCAACCGAACAAAGGAAAACGAACATTTCCTACTCTGCCAGTAAATTCTTTTACTGGACCCTTGGATATCCGAACGCCCGCCCGCCTGGATTCTTTGTCGCTTTCGTCGATATTTCCAGCACACCCTCCCGTCATTCCGAATTCCAGAGTCCAGACTACCCTGCTCTCTGCCACCCCGTCCCAGCTATAATTCAAGAATCCCTGTCTTGGAGGCTTAAATAACTCCAGCTGCGATCACCCCGGCTTTTTCAAAACACCATTAGCCAAGCAACTCATCTACGCGAAAACCAGCGTCACGCGTCATTTATCTCACGTCTACACAAACCACAACCATAAAGGACCCGCGCATTCCATCCCATCTTGCATTCCTATCCGCCTTCCAGTCCACAACTAGCCGCCACTATCAGACTACATACAAAATGTCACCAGCACAAGACCAATATTACTACGTTGTTCCCAACGCCAGCGCCATGGATCCCAACGCTAGAGAATTTGACCTCGCTTCACAAGGCTGGATCCAAGCCACCATCATCGAAGATGACGATCTCATGTTTGGCGGCAAGTCTTTGAGCACCTGGTATGAGGAGGAGAGGAGACGCCTGAGCAACGGTTCCTCGGACGAGGAAGAGCACCGCGGTCGCCAACGGGTAAGCCACAATGCCTCGTGAAGTCTGCTCGCGAACGCCACTGACTTTTTCAAGGTCCGCAAGCACCACTCTTCTCACAAGCATCATCACCACTCCTCGAAGCAGCACTCTGCCAGCTCCGACAAGAAGCACTAAGCGCGCCCTCTTTCAGCTCTCCATCTTCTTTGATATAGATCGCCATCACCGCGATACCCTTTGCGAGCGCTTGAATTTCATACCCCTTTCACGTCGACTCTGTTTATCCAGCATGGATACCTGTGTCGACTTTCTCGCCTCCCTTCCTCACCTCGATACCCTCCTCTGTGTGGCATTGGGTACACTGGCGTTTGTTTTTATCAGCGTTGCATGTTCCGCTGGGTCACTAGAACGGCTTCATGTCCAAAGAGAGGACAGCAACCAGCATGGAAATCACGGGAGCCAAAGCAGAAATCCGCATCTCTACGGCACCGCCTTTCGTTTTAATTGTTATTGCATTGATCGCAACGGCCTGCGATAGCGTCATGATTCGCATCTAGATGGTTTTGGGGCATTATCACCAGAGACTCTCTGACTCGAACGTCGAGAGCTGACTTGTTATTTTGCATGAGTGGATAAATGTCGACTAGGGGGATTTGTGCAGCGGAGGCATCATACACGTACTGTACCCCGTTGCGGGACGGCGTGGCTACAGGTTAGCAAGATAAGACTGTTGCGAGGCAACGAAGGCGAGCAGTGGAGCATCATCTTGGGCTGAGTAGCGGTGAGAGCTGCGCCTCGGCTCAGAGCATGGGGCCCGCGAGAATGAATACAAATCAGTTAAAGTATATCTTTGTGCCTATTTCATGATGCAGTGAGTGATTATTATTGGGGGAAAATGTCTGCAATGCGTCTGAGTCCTTGACGGTCATGACAGCCAACAATGCACAGCAGTGCTGCCCCCCCACGCTCAACAGTTGAGGCACATGCATAGTCATAGTAGAATCCAACAGACGGGTCCGTCAGTGGTGTTCCTCTGCAGGTCCAGCGCCGGAACAGAGAATTGAGCCTACCTTACCGTAGTCAAGCTGCAGCTGCCTCGCCCGCAGTGCAAGTCTAGGCTTGTGTCCCGGACTCCAGGAGCCCAGAGACGGCAAAGTCTGGAGAGCAGCGTTGCATGCACACACATGCATGCGCGCTACGGATAACTAGTGTCCTTCTGTCTGCCGCGATTTCTTCTTCTGCGCGGGATGAAGGCCCTGGTCGTGCGCGGGTTACTGCCCGGGGTTTCGGGTACGGCCGGCGGCTGGTGCCGGGGGGGCATACTAGGGACGCGCGCATGGAGAGCGCCAGAGCGCCAGAGTGGGAGAGCGCCAGTGGCAGATGGGGGTCAGAGCCTGACTCGGGGACGGACGTCTGGGTGGGTGTGTTCTTGACTCTTGTCGTTCCGTTTTCTCTTCCATTTCTTTGTGTGTTTGAATCTTTTCAAGGTGTCCGGCATCGGCGATGTCGGCATTGAAAAAGTTTTATGAGATTGAAAGATGGTGTGAGGGATGGATTGGGCAATGCCGAATGCCGTAACTCGATGTCGGCGAGTGGCTGCCACCAGAGACTTGAGTACGGACAGTCGTCTCGATGGACTTGTTGGCGAGTGACTTAGTTTGCCAAAGCTGTTGGCCCTTTTAACATCAACGTCGTGGTCTACTTACGTAGTGGTTTGTGGTGTGTGGCTCTGATAGCCGCGATGTTGTCGTCTTGGTACGAGTTTACGCCTCGATACTTGAGTGATATGCGCTGCGCTCAAGTGCTACATCGAATGGATAGACCTGGCCCCAAGATGTCATTGTTTCTTGCAGTGTCAGGCACTTTCGTCTTCCTACTGAGGCAGGTTTGATCTTGACTGATCACGTAACATAACTTTAAAAATTGTCTTCGAGTCGAGCCTCAAGGGGTCTCCCCACTACTACCTTAAGTTTAACTTCATACCTCAATCAAGCATTCGTGTAAAGTGACCAAGTCCCCGCACACCAAAGATGTGGCCACAAGCCGTTCAGGTGCCTAGTTCCCTCCGATCATGAAGTTCGTGACTATTCTCTCAAAATCATCCTAAGTCTATGAGAAAAAAAAAAAAAAAAAAAGGACAACAGGCAGCATCACGGGCTTGCACCACTCCTTAAACAGTAGCATCTTGAGGAGACACTGCCCCTTTTATTCTCGCGCCTGTTGCATTGGCTCGCATAATAGCTACGCAGACCAATCTGGGCCAGAAGCGGGTGATTTGGGAGCCATGTTCTGGCCTCAACAGCACCGACCTCATCCAATGCGCGGGCTTGACACCCAGCCGGGATCCAACAAGACTCTTGAACTGCCAATCTCTCGGCTTCTAGTTGCGCGCCAGCTTGCTGCGGGAAGCATGATGTATATATATCAGTTTAGTGGGCTAGGCGCATATGGACGGACAACATTGGCTAGCAGCCCGAGAAGCATGGGGAGAGGTGACTTAAAGATCACTTGGCAACTTTATATGAGGGTACCAAGTCATGTCCAGAGGTGCAGTTTGCTTTACTGACCTGGTGTTGTTCCAAGACTATGAGCTATCATCTCAACCTCGTAACATGCGATTCGCTGTTATCAAGAGTCTTGCTGGTTTCACTGTGGCAGCAATACGTGGACTTATACACGGCATATCGGCATACACCACGTCCAAATACTGGCATCATCAATGCACCAATATGCCGTGTCCTTGCTGAAATCCATCAGAACGTGGCAGATGCTCCGTTGGAATCATGGACTATTTTCAGCCACGGAGCAGTACTCTGGCAACTCCAACGTGAAGACAAGACAACCAGAACTGCTCATCGTCAACATGGCTTTTCTGGTCATGCCGCTCGGCGCGGCGCGAAATGGGTGTTCCAGCTTCCAGCGTAGTGTTATCCCAAAGGAACAGAAATCTGGTTCAAATCGCAAATTTAGAGATATCTTTGATCTTGTTCACGGACGGAGTATAGTATCCATGAAGCAGAGAGCATCGACATGTTCTGGGGATGTGATGGTTTATCTTATCAGTAGGACTCTAACACGAGAGGAAAGGATTGGCGATTTACGATTTATATTGGCCTGCTGCTCACTGACATCATTGCTGGCTTGAAATAGGATATTGAGTGGCCACGGGGTTCCGTCTCGACTCTCTGGTTTTAAAGACCGCACTCTGGCGCTTGAATATCCAAATGTTGGCACCATATGGCCTTGAAGCTAGCTTTCCAAGTCGTAAATCCGGTCATAGACACACACAGGTGTTATCAGAACTCTTCATCGCGAGACTTCCGCGAATCCAGGCAGGCTATTTCTGAAAATTGACACAAGAGATTCCGGCACAGAACTATAGAAGGGCACATGTACGAACAAGGTAGACGATACGGGCAACTGTTAGAATGACTGAAAACTACTAGGTAGCTTTATTTCGAACTAAGATACTGATAGCTATCCGCCATTGAAGACTGGCACCTCTCAAAGTGCTACACGCGAGCGCTAGACGCCCAACTCGGACTCTCTTGCAGACACCCACCAGATACCTATGGATTACAAGCCGATCTCTCGCAGTAGCCCGATCGGTGCTCATATGCCAGTACAGGCACGTCTGTGCAGGGATGACCTGCCTTCTTCCGGGCGCATGGCTGTCTCGCTAGTTTTCTCTCCTTATGGTTTGTGCCGCACCTGACGCAGTGGTACCGAACATAGGGTCGGGTGCACATCTTTGCGAATGTTGTCAGTGACGTTCTGGTAATGGTGGTGGCGGCAGATGAGGATTGTGTTTGTTTTCGATTTTGTTGCTTTTGGGTTCTTGTCGAACTTGGCAGTGATGACAGTTTGTCTTGTAGTTTGCTTGGTTGAAAGTGCGTGGTTTGAGGAGCAGATGTAATTCCTGGTCGAAGCAAAAGGAATAGAACCTTTTATATGATTTCGAAGACAGGAAGTGAATCATGCTGTCCGGTACTCGAGATATCGTGGCTTATGGTACTTGGGAAGGTGAATCAGTCAACTTCCTTCCGAACCCTTCGAACCCTGATGTGACGCCGAGTCGCTGCTTCTTCCTAAGATCTGAATGGGTCACCAGAAGGCACAGAACCACGATGCGGGCAACTGTCAGTTTGATTGAAAACTGTGATTTATCTTTTACGAAACTGCTCAGTCACTAAGAGTTACCCGTTGCTTAACATTGGCATCCGTCGCTGGGCTGCCTATGAACTCGTTGGTTATACAATCAGGTGCCCTCCAAACGATGACCTTGCCCATCGTACTCGACCATATTCATGTTCATTGCCCTGCTGTATAGATTTTGTGCCTGCCGAAAGCGACCAGCCCCTAATTGCTGCTTTGCTCTGAGCTGAAGCGTCCGTCGCACTTACCGCAATAACCCCTCCTGGGATTGGCGGACAATATATCGATCGGCCCTGCACATTCTCTTCCCTCCTTCACAGCCGCGCATTCGACTTTCGTATGTAGATGCCGATGACTTCCACTCTCGTTCTCGCATTTCTCATTTCTGCACCAATATTGACAGTACTGGTAGGTGCACATTTTTGGAAAATGAAATCGGCGATGTCTTCTGGTGGTAGAATCAATTTGGCTCGGAGACTAATGTTGTTCTTGTTGATGTTGCTAGGAATTCTTGTCCGTGTCGAAGAGTAGAAACTGTGTTTAGCTGAGATCGCTTCTGCTTCCCGAAATCTAAACTTCAGCTCGAAACAGAAGGTGCTTTCTTTTATAGTTTACTCTCTCCTGAAGAGATCTCAGGGTTTCTGCTTCGTCGATGGCCTGTTGACTCCGGCTCAAAAGTCGTCGTTCTTCCTTCCCCTCCGGTTCTTCTTATATAATTTTCACGGGCAAAGGACACTCACCGTACGCACCCCAAGTCTTCTTTACAGTCTCTACAATAATGATCGGGTAAGCTCAAGGTCCAAGGGCAAAAGGCAAAGCAGCAAAGGGAATGCCTGAACAGTAAAGACGTGCGCTACCTTTTGCGGAGATTCTCCCTGGTTGGTTGGGACAGCTGGTAGGTAAGATTGAACAACGTCTTCTTGTCCTGGTCTACTGAAGGACGTACAGAATGATCAAGGTTGCTTCAACAATCCTCGAATAAACCCTCGTGATATACCACTTGATCCAAGCGAATGTATGCTTTGCATGATAGTCAACTCGTAAGATTCTTGGCGGCCGAACAACGTGTTTGTGAACCTCTGCCCGTTTTAGGTGGTTGTGACACAGAGGGGCGGAATTGATAGCAGATGATTGAGTGCCGAGTCGGTGGCGGTGGCATCGAATTGCTGAATATAGTTTTAGTACTTAAAGGGGCGTGGCTCTGTGACCGTGGAGTCAGGGGCACTTCGTGTTACCCTCTTAGCCCGGTAAGGTTGTGGACGGTACGTAGCAGCGTGATGAAGGCTCTCCAGTGAGAGCTCATGTGTCCAGATTATCCAAGCTGAATCGCATTGAAGCGCTGCAGTGATTGTTCGCTATGGGCTCACTTGAGATCAGGAAGATAGAACAGGTTTCTTTGCGGGCTGGGTATGTGCGAGAATTGGCAGCTTGGTACCCATTCGTGTGTGTTGCTCGATTCTCTTTGGGATAAAGTAACATGAGCGGCTGTTCGCTATTGCTCATGGACAGGAGTCACCTCACATCATGTTCTGCAATGTCTCTAAGGGAGGCATACGATGTTCAACGCCGGGACCTTCCCAAGTACGTTGAACGCGGAGCCTGACAGACGAATGATCATACCTAGTGCATGAATTGCCATCCTCAATGAGAAGACTTCACGGTCTGAGTATCTGTTTCGTCACAGGTGATGAATGCTGTTGCGGTTCTCAAGAGACCCGATCACGGAGTCAGTCAACTTATGGTGCTTGCGTCTGTATTTCGTCAGGAAATGTAGTGAGGATTGGTTTTAGGGGAATAGACTTAGGCTTGTCGTGTCACTGAGAAGACAACGCTCTGGAGAATTGTGCTTGAATGACCGACATGGTAAAGCTCAGAAGCACCTGTTTTGGATCCCATCTTGAACATGGGCGCCGTAAAGTGAAATACGCCAGATTTGCAAAGGCAGTGGTAGCCTTTCCCACAGACAACATCAGTAACTCCTTCCCTCAGTCAATCATCAACCAACCGCAATCTAGACTTCACGGTTTGATTTCCATCGCCTTAAAAAGCCAGAGCTGCTTTCTTCCGTGAGTGAGATCTGACCCTGTGGCATACATGGAAGCTGTTGCTGCTATTCAAGATAGTCAGTCCGTTTTATGACAAGTTTACCGCCCTCTTAGTCCTTGTTTCCCGCATGCACTTGTCAATCATCCGTGATGATAGTTCAACTGTTCCTTTCGGAGCCCCGTCATGGCTACAGCTAGTGTGCAAGAATTTGGTCTGTTGATACTCAAGTAAATCATCAATGACGGCGAACTTTTGCTTTGCCACCCTTGCCCTTGTTCTGCTACTCATTACGTGGTTACAAACGTGGTAGAAACTGGACCAGCGTCTCTCCGGCCGAGGTCATCCACCCAAAAGCGAAAGATTGGAGTCTCACAGATACAGGATGATTCACGTCAACGTTCAAGTGCAGGGCTGAGGAGATTGGTGCTGCTTATGAAATGATCCAAGACCAATCCTCAGTGCAGCTTCAAATCCCGGATGGAAGCATAGGATTAGACCTGTCGGCGAGGTTCGCACCAAGTAAAGCCGCAGGCTGACGACTGCAAGAGCGAGGCCAACATTATCAAACGTACGCCAAGAGTTTCTTCCAAGCTCAGGTCTTGAGTCCCATGTGTGAACAGTGTCTCTCGGAAGTTGTTTCCTCAGTCGCCTATTGCATCACGTGCAAGATTCTAGAGGAATCATTGCCCTCGCATCGCTCCTAAGCTGCCAGATGCTGGACAGTCCGGAGACGAGTCGTTCATCGAGACCTTCCTAGCAGGGCGATGCGTGGTGTATCGGCCGGGAACGGGATTGAGAAACGGTCCATTCCGCCGGAGCCGGCATTTCCGTCGTCCGAGTGTGCCGCGGCGCAGCAAGCTTTGAGCCAGATCCGATGTGTAAATCTGCAAAGTTCCATCAGACCACTGCAACCTTATATCTCATCATGGACCTGTGACGCCTCGTACGCCTGCCAGGCGTTGGAACATGCGGGGTATAGCTGATGTACAAGAAAATGACCTTGCGGATTCCGGATCGTACGTTGAGGGGACAACGGCCAAGAACTCTCCGTGTCGCCGGGTTAAGGCATCCTTGACGAAAAACGCGAGCGTTTAGTGGACAGGATGCAGTGCTGAAAGCAACGAGAAAAAGGTTCAGCCGGGCGAACGTGATGGCTTCTCGGCTTTCTTGCGGTGGCTTAGCTCATTCGGATATGCAGGATACTTGGATGAGTGCACTGAGCAGGGAGACTTTGACATTCTAGACTTTGAGCTGCAATCTTGGAGCAACAGGACTTTTGTAAAGCGGCTATGCAAAGTAAAAAGTAGGCTCGGCTCCCGGCTCTTATTGACGCCTCGTGATTATCGTAGCCCCCTCATCTTGGCCAAGTGAGCGGGCACTACCTACGGAATGCGCTCCGGCCGACAGCTCCGCGGGACCGGGGACGGGAGCTTTGAAAGCCCCTCACCGGTCGCAGCTTCGCGGACCGAGGAGCTGCAAGTTTTGCTTGCTGTCTTTCCGAGGGCCATTCCGTCACTGGAGTTTAAACGTGACAAAGGGATTGTGCGGGCGTCAGCTGTGTTGACAAATTCTCAGCCAAAGTGGCTCGGCGGGGCGCAAACAGCCCAGAGGACTTCAGAGGCGCAACGGGCTGGACACTTGGCGTTGAGAATCATGAGTGGCTTTGCGGGGTCAGCAGAGGACCAGGCCAAGGAGCCAAGTGTTGGTGACGGGGCTGTGGGCATGTGAAGGTGAGAGGGCTCAGAGGAGAGTGAATCAGATGAAAGCTGAGATGCGATGAAATGCGGACAAATGAGATGACAAGAGTTGCGTCTGGATGACGCACTGACCGAGCGAGTGATGAGCTGTTTCCTGCTGTTCAAGAATTGGCAGACATGGCACATGAGCTTCATCTCATTGACAAGGTCATCCCAAGAGTCTAGACCTCTTGGACGTCAAACCAAGCTTTGACCAAAGGATTCAATTTCGTCAGACTGTGTGGTCTTTGACTTTGCTAGCAGTGCCGTCCGGTCATCTTTTAGACGGCGTCCAATGTGTCCGTCTCTGATGTGTCCACGGCGCCATGCAGAGCGCCACAGTGATCCCTCCTTGACCTATTTCAAGAGAGGCGTGAGGATCTGATTACCGTAAGAAACAAGGTACCGGTAATGTGTGTTCCCTATGCAAGGCAAGGTTAGCTAACGACCGGTACTGCCGGGTTCCGTAGTAGCCTCTTTTTGCATCTTAGCCAGAAGTCTCTCCCCAAGTTCCTTGGTCTCTTATCACGCATACGTACTGCGTGCCTTTACACCCTCAAAAAGACTTCGGCCAAAGTCGCCCACTTCACCGAAAGTCGGGCGCCGATCAGTGAGTCCGGTGCGGAATCGGTCCCTGCACGGCAACCCTCTCTAGTGGTCCCATTCGCGGGAATAGACGGGAACTTTGAGATGAGGCCCGTCGGCGGTAAATGAGGGAACGCAAGTGGCAGCAGCCCTGTGGGCTTCGAGGGTTTCAAGTCTCAAGAAGGTTGGGTCATGGTTGGTTGTACCTTGACTTGACAATCAAGAACTCATGAAAGTAGGTAGGGTTGAAGGAGACACCACCAAAAGACTCATCTGACATGTCTCGCACACCCAAACTTCCCGCGCCCTTCCCGCACCGTCACCGTCATTTGATCCAAGGCACGCAAGTACCGAAGAAGGTTGGGTTAGGGCGCATGTCTCAGTGTCCAAGACACAGACTAGCACAGTGAACCCCTTCACCGCAGGTCATGAAGCCATTGAGAGTGTTGCCCTGGGCGAATCTGGGCCCTGTACGGGCGATGATGGCCTTATCGCTCCATATCAGCGTGGTATCGCATCATCCAGTCACACTGACACTGACTGGTCGCTAGGGAGAAACACACCCATCATCATGGCCCGTTGATAACCCACAACAAACATTCAAAAGGTTTCAACGCTACCTTACGCCTCATGCGTGCCCGGGAAGAGAGAACACTTGACCGTAGCCACTATCAATGTCGTATCTTTCTCTCTCTCTCTCTCTCTCTTTCTGGGTTTCCTCGTCGCCCGGCAGATGGCCATCCCGCGGGCGCGGACGGATGCCACGGCCTTTCATCGCCTGACCACGCAGCCACGCTCGTCCACGTTGGCCAGCTGTTTTCATCCACTCAGAAACGCGAAGCTGACACCGCCATAACATCATGACAAGACCAGGGGCGCGGGAAAGTTTCTTGCAGCGCCATCCGGTGGCATCCACAATTCGAGATGCAAGGGGAGAGGGTCCTCTCTTCCATTCGCATGACACTCTTCCGCAAGGTGAATACTTGGTAGGTAAGGCATTGATAATGTAGTCACGTAGTGTAGCTCGAGCGTGCAGGTTTTATTCGTACAACACACACACACACTTTACGTATGTACACAACGAGGTACACAAACAAGTACCTCATCGACACGAAACTGAAAATTTGTTGACACATCGGAGAATTTCCATCACAATTTTTTCTTGTCCCTTTCGTTTAATGGTTTCCAGGGACCAATTCGACGTCATAAACGAAAACTCCTGCGTCGTAGCTCCAGTTCTTTTTTTCTCGCGTAGGGCCCCTTTTTGGTTACGTGGTTCGGCCCTTTTTTTGCACACTCTTCCCGTTGAGTTCCCTTGAATCAGTGATTCGTGAGAATCGATTCGTAGCTGGAGTGCTGGAGAAAGGCCTCGTCTCCAAAAGGCCCCAAAGTAGCTCCAAGAAGCAAGGACTTCAAGGAGAAGAGAAGAAAAAATTGCTTGGTTGGACCCATTTAATGCCCAGTTCCGGACACTGCCCGGGCCAGACGGAGCTCACAGCGCAACCCTCCCGGCCCCATCGTCATTACTCATTCTAGGTCCAATTACCTCAGAAGTACTACTTTATACAGAGTGCTATACATACTTCGTACTAGTAGCTACTCCTTAGTCTCAGAGATGTATGCGGCCATGGCTGGCTTTGTACCCTCAGCGCCCTGAGAGGTGTGCCACGAGTGTGCCCAGAGCCACACACACACACATCCCAAGTTCCTTTGGCCTGATGGGCTGTTGGTAATAATAATGTCCATGGGCGTTGGCATGAGTAAGTAAGGATCGGCCTTGTTCCGTTGGGCGCCGCCGCGGGTCTGATCGCCATCGCTCTTCAGATTTTTAGGGCGCCTCGTCTCGAACGATCTGAGCCTTAGATTGGTGATCACTGCATAGGGTTCCGGCACCCGCGGCTTATATAGTGGGCTTGGGATCCCGTTCGAACTGCTCTCTCGTCATATTCGTCGGATCCCAATTCCTGGCACGGCACTTGGCTCTTCGTCTGAACGGTTCCCCTATATTTACATCGGGCACCCATCGACACCTCACGTCAACATTAAGCACAGACACTTACAGCAACACACCTCAAAGGAGTACAAATACCAACACGACGGAACCCAGCACACACAGACGTGCTACTACCACATATCACCTTGATCTCAACTATCAACAACTAAACATTGTACTTCCATACACGCAAGGATCACATACACCTCAACACCATCCCAACATGTTTGGCCGTCAGTCACAAACTCAGTTCCCCAAGCGAAGCAGCTCAGGCTACTCGTGGCCCGATAGCGACAGCGAAGACGATATCGTCATCAGGCCCTGCGCCACGAACGAGAAGGCCGATGCCACAGTCACAATGACCGAGTGCGTTCCGGGCCCGACGGCGGTGGAACAGACTTCTCAGTCCAGGCCTTCTCTCAGCGGCCGCCGCGCCTCCGCCGAGGATACCAACCTGCAAGAGCTTTGGGAATGCATGCTTGAGCTCCAGCAACAATATCACTGCTACAACTCGACGCGTATGGAGATTGCTGCCGATAGAGAGGACGCCATGGACATGATGCGTATGTTGACACACCCACTTTTCGCCTCTTACAAGAGCTTCCTTTCGCTAACACCTTGTTCAGCCACCAAGTACTGCATGGACATGCTCAACGACTCCATCGAGTCCCTTCCCGAAGAGGGCTGGAAGAAGCTCAGCAAGTTCCTCATCACCGACCTGGAGCACGCCCAAAAATCGCAAAAGTGGAAGTTCTGGAAGCACCTCTAGATTTGTGCACATGGACCGCTCAACTCTTGCACAAGTCTTGCATTCATCCTTTCTTTCAGCGAAGCGAAGAGCTCTCTGCTCTGATTAGAATGATACCCCCTTCTTTTTTCTCATAACAAAAGTCTCGGTTTAGGGTCAGGCGTCTCATCGGATATCCCCTGGTTCAACTACTCACATTGGGTTTGGTGGCTCTGGAGGCATTGGCGGATTCCTGTTAAATTATTTGATTCATCACGCAAATCATATTTGACACACTTTGAAACCTTTACTCCTCCATCTTCATGTCTCTCGTAGTGAATTCCGCCCCTTCACTCATACGATTTCGTCATATCGTACGAGACGACATCTCATGGAATGCTCGGTGCGGGGTGTTAGAGGTCTCGGCAGAAGCTCACGGCCGCCGGCTCCGATTCCGGATCGTGAATGCCGATCGTTTGTTGGCGTGCTCACCAGTGTGACACGACATGCATGTGCCATTACATCGCGGGGAAAACGTCAAGTAGGCCGGTGAGTCAGAGCGTTTTGACATGTTGACTCAAATGCGACGCTAGCTGCGAGCTTACCCGTACTTGTCGGGTATACAGGAGGTATTTCATCACGATGTTGAAAGTGCAGTGACGTTGGTAGACTGTTAATGGGGGACCCGTTGTATCCGCAGCATGTCTCGATTCTCGAGTCAAATTGCAGAATTAGCCTTCAATAGCGCAGAGCATCACTCATGAAGATCGTCGTAAAAAAATCATTTCATTGGGCTAAACTCTCATTACAAGGTCATACAAAACAAAGCGGAAACCAAAGCAATAGTCGATCTACACAGCCGCGGCAACTTCGACAGGTCCCTGAGGAAGCCGGGCGGCGGCAATGTTGCACTGCCGGAACAACCGCACCTCATCTTCCGCAAAGGCGCCCACCACGGAGTGGATCACGCCGCGGTTGTGGAAAATGACAAAGTCGCCCTGCTCCCAGTCGTGAGCATACACGTTCTTGGGCGAGATGCCCGGCCGCTGCAGGCGGTGCACCGTCTCCCGCACCTCGGCGAGGTCCTCCACCACGGTGCCGTCCGCCAAGTGCAGCTTCCGCACCGCCGAGGGGTGGACCTGCAACGCTAGCCGGTCCGTGACGGGGTTCCGCCAGCACATGGGCAGGATCTGGATCTTTTCCTCGTCGATGGGGGGCAGGTCGTCGAGCGGGACCTCCTTGCCCTCCGAGACCATGCCCAGACCGGTGGAGCGGGACTTGGCGCTGCTCATCCACACGTAGGGATGCGGTGCGTACTCCACCTTTGTCGTGCGGACGAACTCCTGGTCCTCGGGCGAGAGGTTGTCGTACATTGCGTAACCGGACACGAAGGCTGTGGTACCAAGAGGGACCGTCATCTCTTCGTCGGTGCCGTCGTCGTAGCGGAGGGTTTGCTTGCGGCCGCCGGGCACACGAACTGCCAGGAGAGTCGTGGCGACGGGCGGTGCGAGACCGTAGAGCGCGGCATCGATGTGCCAGCGGTAGAAACGTGTGAAATCCAGGTCATCCTCATCAGGGATGGTTGTGGCGTGGAATGTGCGGTGGTGAGGGTGTCTGAGCTGGATGTTCTTCAGACCCTCGTACTCCTCGACGAAGCCATTGCCAATGACTTGGACTTGAGGCTGGTGCGGGATGGTCTTTAGGTCAGGGTGCAGAATGGAGCGCTTGGCGTCCAGGGTCTTGCCGTGACCGTAGTTCTCACCAGAGTCAGGGTCGAACTTTTGTGTAATCTCAAACTGTGCCTTGGGAGATGCATGTCCCTGGTTCTTGATTACGAGAACTTGGTGCTTGAAGAGAGCTTCACGGATGACATCAAAGTCGGCATCTGTAAATCGTCAGCCAATGGTCTGAATTTGTGAGTCTTTTACTTGAAGCTTACCAGAGGAGGTTACCGATTTCACGGGTATTCTCCCACTACTTGTACAACATCATCGCTTTCAATGCATCAAGCTCGCGTCATATCTTACCAGTGAGATTCTCAATATCAGCGTTGCTTATAGTAGCGCCAAAGTCAACATCCGAGTCCGCAGCAGGGACAATTGGCTGGACGGTTATGCGAGACGGAGTCTGTGAGATGGCCATTTTCGAGCTAGAGTTCGGAGTAATATTGGTTCTTAATTTGATAGTGCGTTGATCTTGTTGCGAATGACAGCTGTCTTCCAACGTCTAAATTGAATTCATGTAGCAGTCCGGTGGCCCTGAAGAGGGTTTTATGTCTTGTGAAAGATATTGTGGTGGAGTCGTCAACTCGGATCCCGCCGATGACCTGCGGGTGAGTTTGTTATCTCACCCGCACTGACCCGCCCGCACTCGAGAGACTAGATGTAGAGATGGTGGGGTTTCTCGATAAGGCTGTGGCGTAGAACACCGGATTGCGCATTTCCGGTTTGTATTCTGCTGGTGTTATTGGATGAATACTCTCGATATCTGTCGACTCGTTGAAGATTCTGGATTGGGACTTTGTGCACCTATCAAGCAGTACCGTCAGCCTCTTGTTGACAGTGATTTAACATCTGGCTGCTCGCGTACCCCAATTAATAAGGTACATGACTCCATCCTTGAACCAACATCGGCTCGAAGCCCCAACGCCGAACCCGCGAGTCACCCCGCCACCCCTCCATCCCACCCCTCCATCTCTTCCGCCCGCGACTCGGCCTATGGGCGCAGAATCCCGCGAATTCCTGATAGCTGGGCCGGAAATATTACAGATTCTCGCGTGGCAGCCACTCAGTGCGCACTGGTGCATTCCATCTCTTCAGAGCCCGCGGCTGGCATGGCTGCGTCGGTCTCCGCCCTTGCGCCGTCCGAAGCGGACCATGTTGTCGGAAGGGAAGCGGCTAGGAGAATGTTCTTAATGCTCCAGCGTGTCGTCTCTGCCAGAGGCCAACTGCAGATCTGGAGACTATGCATCCGTGGCAGTGACAACCTGTAGCCGTCCTCTGTTGTTGGCAAACGAAAGCAAGCCAGGACATGACCGTAACGGTATCGTTGCGTCTGAAATATGAGTCGATGGCGTAGTTGGCTACTCAATGCTTCTTGACCTTATCCATCCATTCCTTGGAAGCCTTCGTGCCGTCGTGAGCTTTTCGGAAAAGTCCTCGCTCCCACTCATCCAGACCGCGGAGGAACTCCTCACCGGAGCCTCCAACACCATCATCACCTCCTTTTCGGGCGTGCAATGCGATCTCAGACGCGCGCGCTATGAACGTCTTTCGCATGGTGTCGCTAAGGTCGCGCTCGTCGAAGAGATCCAGGATACGAGTGCCGAGTCCGTAGAAGTGGGCGCTCTGGTCTCTAACCGGCACCGAGCGCGCATCGGCCTTGAGTGCTTGTACGACTTGATTCGAGAGTGAGGGAGGAAGGTTCAAGGTGACGGGCGCCTTGGAGTCGTCGCCGGTGCCTGCATTGGCAAGAGCAAGCATCTCGGCGAGCCAGAGAGGGAGGCTGACATTGGTTCCTGCCTTTAAAGCATGCGAGGGATTATTGTCGAGGTATCCGAGGTCGGCAACATCGAGTTCGAATTTGCAGGGGACTTTCTAGGCGGTTGTTAGCTTTTGTCATCGATTATGCCAAGCGTGAAGGTAATGGTATGAGTAGAGGGGCATGATATAGGGAATCACTGCATACCTCGGCATCTGTGAGAATGGAATCAATGTCGTAGTAAGACATGTTGGCTACTTTGACTAGATCCTCGCTTCGTTTGACTGGGTGTTCACAACTGAAATATGAGATCGAACCTGGGAGGGGGCCTGCTAGTGAAGCTTGACGCGTCTGGCGATGCAGCAGACGCGGTTCTTGGAGCCCAGCCACACATCACCCCGCCATGTCTGTCACGGTCAAGCCACATTCCTTGGGTGAGGCTGTGGCTGTGTGTGCATGAGTAAGGCGGAGGCAGAAGAGCACCCAATGAGACGTGATGGATTACCTAAGAGTGTACCAGAAGCTCCAAGGAAGCTGGAGGTGACAGCTCTCCACTTTAAGTGGATGACGACATTTCTCCACGTCTCTCATTCGCTGAAAGCTTGATTAGGTGATTAAGTACCTAAAGCAGTAGACGGGGGAACCGCTGGAGGAACACGGGGAGAAGCGCAGAAGCGCTGAAGAGCGAGCCCGGCCAACAACAGCTCGGTAGCCGTAGCCCGGAGGCAGCTTTTCTGGAGATCCGAGCTCCCTCACGTAATAGCCGACCGAACCTCCCGCAATTGACATCATTCTGAGATTTGCACCAGCATTTGTCAACCCGCCAATCCAACGTCAAAACGTACTTTTACGCCCTTACTGCCTCGCTCCTTTGGTCTTTAGCATCTCGCACACTTTGATCAAAGCCATTGACACTAATCAAAAGACATAGAATACGCAAAATGTCGTCCACTCTCCTCCGTACCGCGCCCGTCCTCCGCACAGCTCTGCGAGCTGGTGCCGCTAAGCCTGCTGCTGCTGCTTTGGCCAGCACCAGCTTCGTTCGCGGCAAGGCTACTCTGCCCGACATCTCTTGTAGGTAACGCCGTTATTGTCATCGTATTCGTTGCGAGGATACAGACGCGCTAATGCCTCCTCCTACGCAGATGACTACGGCGCCCTCGAGCCCTACATCTCGGCCCAGATCATGGAGCTTCACCACTCCAAGCACCACCAGACCTATGTCAACGGCCTCAACACCGCTCTTGAGACCGTCGAAGATGCCAACGCCAAGGGCGACTACGCCAAGGCTGCTGCTCAAGCTCCCTTGATCAACTTCCACGGCGGTGGCCACGTCAACCATTCTCTCTTCTGGGAGAACCTTGCCCCTGCCAGCAGAGATGGCGGTGGTGAGCCCGACGGCAAATTGGCTGTACGAGACCTCTTCGAAACAAGTCCACACTCTGCATTGAGAAGATACTGACACGTTCCACAGCAAGCCATCAAGGAGGACTTTGGCTCCTTCGACACCCTGCGCAAGCAGATCAACACCTCCCTGGCCGGAATCCAGGGCAGCGGTTGGGCCTGGCTGGTCAAGGACAAGACCAGCGGCACCCTCGGCGTCGTCACTCGCGCGAACCAGGACCCCGTCACCGGCAACCTCGAGCCTCTTCTCGGCATCGATGCTTGGGAGCACGCCTACTACCTGCAGTACCAGAACCGTAAGGCCGAGTACTTTGACGCCATCTGGAACGTTGTCAACTGGAAGACTGTAGCCAAGCGCTTCGAGAAATAAGCAAACAAGGGACACATGTACGATATGCAACTGTTGATACCTAACAAAAATTTACCGCGTTTGACCAATGCCAGCCTGTTGGACGACAACGTGCCAGGCTGTGACAGCCATCTCAACCTCAAACGTTAGACATTCTAGGATGAAATTAACAAATTTTGTAACTATGGTACTAATGGCAGCACTACGGCCTTGACCGACAGAAACAAGTCCCAAACTCCTCGCTCTATTCAACAATGGTTCGACGCCATCTCATGGTATTGGGAGGAACCCCATATCTGCCCACTTGCTGCCATCAAAGTGGACGTGCTTCAGCTGCCGGTTCGCTTGGAAGAAGCAATGACTGAGGTCATGCGATGCTTCCAGAGGCACCTCCGGAATCTTTGCCGACGCAGCTGTGACGCAGGCGATATGTGTTGGATTGTCAGCACCATCGAAGACGGAATCCGACTCTGGCCCTTTCCACCCTGTCGTGTCGTCCTCATACACGTAGGATATCTTGCCAGTCTTGGAGTCCTGGTACAGGACCCATGTGTTGAGGGCCTCTGATTTTTGGCCGCTGGAATCAAGCCGAGCTACCGCGAAGCCAGCCATGGTAAAGTTCGAGTCGACAGTCACCGGTAGCTGGCCCGTCGAGGTGAGCTGCTGGCCACCAGATGATCGATCATAGTTTTGTAGATGACCGTCGGTGCTACGGTATATGATGCGTGCGCTTGATGCGGATGTCAGGTCTCCAGCTGAGTGGATTACTTCTCGAGGAAGAATCACCAGTGCCGAGCCCGGAGACGCCGTGACCCCAACTATCTTGGGCTCTTGGAACCTGGGCGACTTGTAATCGAAAAAAACCTCCATGACGTCTCCGTTGCTTGCCTGGATAATGGTGGACGGCCAGTATGATGCCATCTGTGTTCCCGTGTTGCTGATGGTGTAACCTGCCTCATTGACGCTGTCTGTCAGGCCCCCTCTCGAGAAACCTTCACGCCAATTGACGCCGAGAATCTTGTCTGGCGATCCAAGATAGAACACTTCGGACTGCGGGATTACAGGCAAGGGCTTCACAAGACGTCTTTAGTGAAAGGTCCACCGACGAAGAAAGGGTAAATACGAACCTCATCGGGCTTGGTCCATAGCTGACCGGCGCCGAAAGGAGAGCCCACTTTGGGGGCCGCCCCAGCTTCCATCGGGGGAGTCCAGGCTTGATAGATGGTCATGTATTGAGACCGTCTCAATGAACCGTCTGCGCCCTGGAAGAAGACTTGCAGGGTGATGTCGGAACCGTATCGCCATCCGACAGCAGATACAGCCGAGTTCTGCATAATCTTAGTAGCGCTCGTCGATGGCGCATCGCCGTTTACCGATCCCGGACCACCCGTTTGTGATTGTGCGCTCCGGTTCACCGTCACCCTCCATGCAGCCACGCCGCCGATGACACCTCCAAGAATCAAAACGACTAGAGCCACCGTGATTGCGATACACCACGGGAATCGCCGACCCGGTCGCTGATCCTCCTGTCCTCCAACATGGCTTCCAGGGGCTTGCGAGGAGTAGCCATTGTCCAACGTCTTGTGCTCACTGTAGCCCGAGCCGTTTTGTGAGGAAGATTGCCAGTGACTTGCTCCATTGGCGATAGCTATAGGAGTGTTGTCGTAGTGTGTGCTTACTTCAAGCCCTGGTTGAACAGCCTCGGCTGGACGGTTCATGGTGAGCGGTTTGTGAGGGAGGAGTTTCCCTTGTTCCAGTTCAGAACGAGCGTAGGGAAGTACGAGATGTCAAAAACACCAAAGTTCCAAGAGTTCAAGAGAACGAGCGAGAGTGCTTCGTGGGTCTCTTGCCGTATGTATATCTGGGCTCACATCCGACCCCACGCTAAGGCGAGACTTTTACTCACTTCGCTTCGTCTTGTTTCAATACTTTCCAAATCTACGGGAGACCATCCAAGGGCTCTAAAGTCTCGTGTCCTTCTTACCCACTCTGGAGGCTACCTACTTTGAGGACCGAATCGGCCCCCAGGTTCGACGTCAGAACACGAGCCAAGACCTGCGACTGTGCCTTCTCGCCCACTGGAGGAGCAATGCCAGGTGACAGCCGAGATCGAGATGCCCACTGCTCCATTGATGTCCAAGGTGGCCTCGTCAGAATTTTCCCCCGCCCAATGATAGGGTTTTTATTGACGCGTAAGATTCTCAAGTTCACCTCAGACTGGAAAACAGACATGAATTTGGCAATCATCAGGCTCCATACACTCTACGAGACTTGGAAGGCGTTGACGCCAAGGAGGCGGCACAGCAGGGTCTCTAATTGCGGCCTCTGGTATCCTGCAGCTAATAGGGCTGGGCTGACTGATGTGACGATTCATAACGCAGGAGCTTCATGCACTGCCAGACGTCGGCTGCACTGGAAATACCAAAGTCCCTTGCCAGCGTGCCATCGCTTTGCTGGTCTTGATGAAGGAGACCATGGACAGGGACTTGAAGCGCCAGACCGGGAGCCTGGCTAATTGGCCGACAGGCACCGAGCTGACAACACTAAATTAACCTTGTTTGTGACTGAGAACGGGTCTGAGACTGGATGATGATTCGTGGGTTCGCTTTTGGGGGTTAATTCTCCAGTCCCATGAATGATTGAGGCCAATTACTGCATGCTGCTCTGCCTGGTGTTGCAACCTTGGATCCCAGACTCCAGTTTCCCGGGATTGCGCCCTCTGTTAAACAAGCTGGCCTTGTACGACATTAGAGAAAGCT